TTGTCAGTGCAGACAGTAAAATAGCAACTGACATTCAGGGCTTTTATTGTGCTGCATGCAACTCGTGAGCTGGAGCAGGGTAACAGTACTGTGGGTTCACCTTTATCCACTGTGATGAAAGGTGGTCAATCAGCCTGAGCCCTGAAGATTTTATACTGCAGATTCACCTGAAGCCGGGCTGCAGGGAGGATGATGCTGGAATCAGGTGGTAAGAGGCTGCTTCCCAGGAACTAGTTGACCACGTTGCCCCAAAACCAGGGATTGGGTGATGTTTAATGAGGTTGGTGGTTGTGTTTTGGAGTGGGGCACTTGGAATCCCGGCCGTGGTGCTTTAGCGAGGTGAAAGAGCAACACCCGTTGTTCCATTGGATTTCAAACCTGCAGAGAAACAGCATGTTATCAGCAAGCCCTTAGCTGCACAGTGACAAAAGGAGCGGTGGGAGTTCTTCAAACCCTGTTCCAGCTTTTGGATTTTCTTTAGGCAGCAGCTGATTTAAATCCTTGCGTTTCTTCACCATACAAAGTCTGTTCTGCAGGCGTTTGCAGGCGGGGAAACTCTGATTTGGCCTTTTTCCTCTGAGATTTCACGCTTGTGGTTAATATCTCATAGGGGATCAAGTTGTTCTGGTTGCTTTGCATAACATCTATAGATGACATCCCACTCATCCCCTTTAAAATCAAATCCAAGAGACAAGTCTCTTGTGCCAACATGTTACTGTCGGTTTTATTCTTTCTTTTTCATTACTGTGTTCTCCCAAAAGAAAAATAAATTGCTTATCTACTTCTGAATCTTATTTCCAGTGACAGATATTGCCAAGTATTTCTTCTTGGTTTTTGGCAGCCGCATTTGTAAAGATGGGTGGTACAGTTATCCATAGCAATGACTAGGCAGAGCAGGGAAGCAATGACTCAGTTTCTTCGTCTGCTTTTGTTACATTAGAGCCTTAGTTTGGCTAAATGAACAAAATCATACTGTCCTTCCTTGAACCTGATTTAGGTGTTTTTAAATATTAAATATTAATTAGAACAAATCAGTGTGGCAACAAATGAAGGCATCGTGTGAGATCTGAAATGTGTTATCACCAGTCTCCTTCCTAAGGTTCTACTTGAAGCTTGCTCTCTTCGTATGACACACTTCAGAGAAACAAGCATCATTTTGAAAGGAGGAGTGCAGAGGTAACTGAATGCTGCTGCCTACATTGGTAGCTAGATGGGACTGCGTATTTTTGGACTCTTTATGCAGTGCCAGATAGAAAAGGAGAGGGGAGCTGGGAAAAGTGCACTGTGTGGCACTTATTATTTCCTTACTGGAAACTGGAGATCAGGTAATGGGGTTTTTCTCTCTGGATCAGCCTCTGGCTCTCTTCAATATGTTCAGGAAATCACTTTACATCTCTGCTTCCATTTCCTTTGGCTGTCAAATGAACATAATGATAACTACCTTCTCTGAGTGCTTGTGCCTCATTAGAGCGATAAAACATTTCGGAGGAAGGAATCATTGATGTGTGACTTATTAATCCTGCAAGGTCAGGCTGAACTGCCTGTAAACAGCCAAAGAAATTGCAGGATGAGGAAGAGGTCTCCCGTAGCTGACTGAATGCTGGTGCTCCACACGCTGCCAGTGAGCAGGATTGCTAGAGAAGGGTGAAGCAGATTTTTCCAGCCCTGTTTGAACAAGGGCCAGTTAACAACAGAGCATTTTTCTCACCTGCTGCCTATCAGCTCTCTGCAGTGCATCCCTGAATGTTCTGTGCACTCGTATGTTGTTTTTGCAGGAAGAGGATTTGTTGTTCAGTTCATCTGCTTGGATGTCTTATCGAGACGCTCTGTGTGTTTTTCCTGTACATACAACTGCTTGCGACATGATAAAAGAACACGTGTCAAGAAGAGATAAACAGATGAGCCATGTTTTAAACTGTAAGAGCCTCCTAAATTTGATAACCGTCAGTTCTAGCCGGTATAACCGTGGTGCTAAAGAAAGAAGAAATCAATATTGCAGAAGCTTTTGCAGAAAATTTATGAGCATGCTTTGTTCAGGAGCAGCCCATGAAGACTGAAGCATAGCTAGCACTGTGCTCTGATGGAGGAGCTTAAAGAGAAGCCCCTTGTTGAATCCACAGTGTTCCAGGGAATAGGAAAACAGGCTTATTTTTTGGTTTTAGTGTAGCAGTGTGTGTGCAGAAGAAGGAAGTTCTGTGAAAAACTATTAAGCTCATTTGGGTACTGCGGCTGAATGGACAGTAACAGTGGAGCCTGGTCCCTGCCAGAGCTATAACTATACTGCTTTGGGTTTATATTCATGGGGTAAATGGTTTGTATGAATTGTTTCTCTAACTGTTTTTCCTCAAAATCCTCAAGATGGAATTTCACTGTGTTTAGATGCTACTTTTCAGCTGAGACAAACTTGTGTCATAAGCAGGCATTAATGTACCAGTCAGGTTATTCTTTCAGCATACGTGGCAACCATTTTCTGACTGTCATTGCATATTCCCCTATGCCCCAATGTTTGCACTCTTTGGTTTGATCCTGGCTTATGATTTACTGTTAATACAGGTGAAGTGTCACTCTGCCTTCATCCCAGCTGACAGGCTCTGCAATCATGGGCAGCTCTTGTAGTTGCATACAGGGGAGCTCATCCCTCTGGTGGCCGCAGAGGACCCACGCTTGGTCCCACTCATGGCTATCTATTGAAACCTAGAGGTGAAACAGAAGAGTGGTTGGTGTGAATTGTTACCAGGTATTGAGAAATCCCTTTGGAGGGCTCGATTCCCACCACAGTATTTGCGTGGCTGTTTGCTGGGGGATGCTTGTCTCTTCCTGTAGGGAGGTTTATTTCTTATTTGTACCTTAAAGACTGATTTGGTCTTCATTAAAAACATCAAAAATACAGGAAAATATGTAGTTGTACAGATCCTCTTCTGTTTTACACCCGCGTTGTGCCTTTTTCCTATACAGCTCCAGGACATCTCCCCCATATTTACCTTCACTTTGTGCTGGTAGCATATAGGAGCACAGAATGACAAAATAACACAGGAGAGCTGAGTCTGGAGGATCTCAGTGCTCCAGCCTGAGAACCTTGATCTGTCTGTCTGAACAAGATTAAAGCGAGCACTGTGGAAGCTGGGAATAGATGAAGATTGGATATATGATGGGTTCACATCATTTAAAATTCTGTCTTGAAATGATTTCTTATTCTTGATTATTAAATAGCATCAATGGCATCAAGTTGCAGCTAAAACAAAGCAGGCTGGTTTTGCTTCCTGAATGTTGCCCTGTTGAAAAATAAAAACATTCTCACTCTCCTGATTAAATCATTTTCATCTCGTTGTGGTTTGCAGTAAAGAGTGATCAAAGGGAAATTCTCTTCTATGTCTGTCCAAAATGCTGAAAGTTTTTATGTTTCTCCTTTCCTCCTCACTTTATTTGTGGGGGATTGGTTTGACTCCATCTGTAGCTGCAAGCAGTAGTGCTGCTTTATCAGCTCTGTGCTGCTTTGCAGGTCACAGGTTTCATGTTTTCTGCTGTACCAAGGACCTTGCCTCGTCCCTTCCTGCATCACAGAGGAAGGAGGTATTGGATTGAAAACCAACAAGAGAAAAACAACACCCAAATTACATGTAAACATATAACTGCTCATTGGCAGTAACTTTGTGTCCTAAGGCAAGGTGACAGGAGCATGTCCTCATGCCAGCAGCTGGCTAGACAAGATCAATATATGAGAGAGGAGGAGATAGTGCATAACAGAGAAAGAGCGTTTATGAGTCACAGTGGTCAGTGGTGTGAGTGATCTCTCTGGGTGCCAGCCCTTGAGGCCACTCTTAGCAGGGCTGGGTTCTCGCTGCACAGAAGGGACATGGTAATGCTATTGGAGGCCTCCAGAGAGCTGGTCACATAGCACAGTGTACCAAGGTGAAAGGTCACAGGATCTCTGTGCTTGGTTTGTAGAAAATACAGGTGCTCTTTGTGTCCCTTGTTTCATGTTCAAAGCTGTGTCTTCCCAGAAACCAAGCTTGCTGGGACCTTATCCTTACGCACTGTTGTTTACTGAATTTGCTTGTGATTTCAGTGTTGTTGCCTCTCTGTTTCCCTGCTGTGGCTGGCAGCAAGCACTGCAGCATCTCTACCTTTGCCGAGGAGTGTGGTGCCAGACTTCACGAGGGCATTGGTCGCAAGCTAGTAATTTAGACATTAATACTCTTCCAGCAATAAAAACCATTACTCTCATCTCCCCCAGGGAATTCTCCGGTCGTTTTGCACTCACACTTCTTTCTTCTAATTCATTTTAGCAGGTTTTTTTTTTTATAAGGCACTTTATTTCATATCAAAGCATATTTTCTTCTTCCCTGTTCTCTGGCTCCATTTTGTTCTTGTTTCTTATTGCAATGTCTCAAAGTATTTGAAAAATTAACAGCAATAGGCACAGAAAGATTTCAGCCAGCCTGCAGTGTATCGGTAAGTGACATGGCTTGCTCAGCAAGGGGGGAGGGAGCAATGGGGAGCAACTTAATTCAGCAGCAGTTTCCAGCGCTTCCTTTGCTTCTTGCTTGCAGGCAGAGCTTTCAGAAAGCCTTTCTGGTGTTTCTCTGATCTTTAAATGCGTGTCTTCCAAATGTGTCCCACAGGTGCCAACAAAAAAACTGAAGAAATATGAGAGAGAGTACCAAACAATGCGAGAGAGTCAGCTGCAGCAGGAAGATCCTATGGACAGATACAAGGTACGGGAGATGCTGTGTGGGAACCTTTTTCGTTTGCTGAATGACATGGGGAGAAATGCAGTTCCAGCCATTAGGCAGAGGTGTGCTCCCACCCTCACCTCTCCAGGATTTGCTGATGTAGATTTCAGGGAATTAAAATGGCAGGCAAAACTCATTCCCTCTCCTGAACGAGCACTTTGAACACTCAGTGTTTTTGCAGGGGTGTTTGAATCACAATTTGTTAGCCTCAAGACATTTTCAAGTAGCCACATATAATATTTTTCTTCTTTCAGTTTATATGTTTGTAGGTAACTCTCCTGCTGTTGCGCTTTTACGGGAGACCTTCCTGAGACGCAGAAACAAAGGGTGATTCTCAGCTACAGACACAGAAAGGAGAAAATACACATTGTTCTAGCCCAAGCTGTGTACAGTAACATCCACAGAGACTTTTGGAAGATGCACTCTTCCTTGGCTTGATATGTCCTTGTTTCTCAACTCTGTTCATAGCAAATGTTAGTAATTTTATGTCAGTATAATGGCTAGTACAGTGGGACCCAGTGTTCTTCTGGGGTCCTAGTATACTACTGCAATAGAATTAATAGTCATAAATAGCAGCAGAAGAATAAAGTTCAGTTATTAATATGACAGCTCAACAGTTGACAAAAAAAAAATTAGTCCTTGATAAGTTTGGATCAGCGTTGTTTCCAATATGCTCGTTTTATTGTTACTGCTACATTCTGTTACCACAGATTTTTGTGTGATGGAGGCTCTGCCTCTTGGTTTATATTTTACACAGTGTCCAGGATTCTTTTATTGCTTACCCAGTATTACAAAGAGGTTAGTGTTTCTTGGGAAAAGCTGCCAAAGATGAAGCACCTTTCTGGATATTGCCCGGTTTTGCTGGGAACTGACATTGCTTATCTACACCTGTGATGTTCTCCTGCCGTTCTTTAGTGTGCCTTATTATGTGTTGGTACAAAGTCTGCCCAGAGTGCGGGCTAGTAAATAAGTACAGGTGCTGCCACAGGTTTACATGGTATGTGAGCACAAGGAAAGTGCGGCGTGTTCGTAAAACCACAGTGTGAAAGACTGTAAATATGATAAGATAGAGTTACTGTTACAAAGAAAGTAAAACTGACTTTAAAGGTAATATTTGCTTGTGGAAAAACAGTGTTTTAAGTGTAGTTGTTTTATGTCAAAGAGTGTATGTTTTATTGTTTCTGAGAACTGGGACTGCCAAGAGCTGATGATCAGAACATTGAGAAAAAAACACAACTTGCTGCTGATTAACTTCTTTTCCAGTGGTTCGCTTCTACTACTGTGGAATTAATACTTAAAAGCCAAAGAGGGCTTCTTTAAAGCTCTGTGGAAATGTATTAACTGGTTAATCCTTGGTGATGGGTGGTGAAGAATATCATCTCCAAACTGCAAATGAGGGTATAGAAAGTGGCTCTGTGGTCACTGCCTGTGTGAGTCCCTGTCACGGCCAAGAGCACAGCGCAGCTGTTGGCTTGCACTTGCCCAGCTGCCTTTGTTGGGTCTGCTCTGCTTACTGATGGTGTGCTTAGGTAGGCTCTGTAACTTGTTGGCTGCACATTAAATGCCAAGTTCAGACTCATTCTTCAGCTGATTGATGTGGTGTGGTAATGCTTGTCAGTGCTCTCTGTCCGTTGTCTTGCTTGCTTGTTTTTTATTTGTGTGTCAGGCTGAGGTTGGTGAGAATTGACATTTCAGGAGAGATTCCAAAGCGTAACAGGAAATGCAAGCTGTGGACCCTCAGGGACAGAACATGGAGAGCCAGCTTCGCTTGTCCCTTGAATGATCACACAGCAGCCCTTGTGTTTGAAATGTATTTTATTTTGGCAGTGTCACTGTTAGACTGCCTGGCTGGGCTTGGTTAGGGAAATGCTGGAGACAGCGCTGGTGAGAAGCCAGTATATTGCCTCTGAGCACAGCATTGCTGTTAGCTCCTCTGGCCTTGTGTGCTCTGTGTGCACTCTGCCCTAGAGGTCCACCTTGTTTGTAACCTTCCAGAACACTGTGTTGCTTACGTTTACTTACCTAGGAAGAGGGGACTGCTCAGACTCCTGGTGCCACTTGGAATGTTCCTCTTAGAGGTTGAGAAGGAAACAGGCTTGCAGCCTCTTAACAATTTTTAGTTATAATTGTTACAGTTTTTGCTGTTTGCAGTGTGTTGTGCTTTTTGTTGCCAATAGATTTGTCAGGACCATAGGGATGTACTCAGTGATGGTGTTGTATTGGCGCTCCTGACTTGCAGGGATGAAGGATGTGTTGAGTAAGACCCCTCCCTGTTGGGGAGCAGATGAGAGCAAGACCCTCTGTGGTGGCAGCAGGGCTCCAGCCGAGCTGCTGCCTCTTCCTGCTGTCCCCGCTGCCCTGTGAGCAGCAGGGAGAGAGCTCACAGGAGGTGATGCAGAGAGACTGAGGAGCAGTCTGACTTCAGGGAGAGAGACCATGACCCATGGAGTGCACGACAGCTTCTTCCTGTCCTGGTATTCCTGAGCGCAGTGACGCTGGGGCTGAGGAGCAGTGCCAGGAAGGAGATGCCTCGTGCCCGAGGGCAGCTGGGTGCATCCAGCAGGGCGCTCCTGCAGAGCCACCACCCCCACACTCCCCATAAACTCCAAAAAAGGGCTACTGCTGCTGTGTCACACCTGACATTAACCAGTCACATTTCCTTGACAGGTTGAGTTTGCATGCTACAGTAAGATGTGCTGTATGAACAGTATTAACAGGTGCCATATGTTCTGGTGTTTATTTCCTTCTGTATCTACAGGTATTATGTAGGAAAAGTATATTTTTTTATGGACACATTTTCATGGTCAGGTAATTTCATCTTTCATTATTCATAAGAAGTCATTATTCACAATGCTGTCAGGTTTTTAAAGGGTGCAAAAGTAAACACGTTCTAAATTGCTCATTGCCACCAAATTTCATACTTTTTAGTTAAAATAAAGAACAAGTTGCCTAAAAGAGTCAGTTAAAAAAAAGTGACCTGTATGTGCAGGAAAAAAAAAATAGCAGCATGGTTCAGATTGATATTTTCTATATATTGTTACAGGTTTTTTTTTTCTGTGTTCAAGAACATCTCATGTAACAGGGCTGTGTTTGACTTGCTAAGAAATTGCTGAAGTTGGGCTCAGCAACCTTTTGTTTTAAATAAAAGGGAGAATATCCAGATAAAGTTGGCTGGACCCTGCTTGTGCCCAAGGCTTTGTTCTGAAGGTAGAAATGCATTTTCCTCCATGGACTTCATTGTGTGACAGAGATGTTGTCTATCTGAATAAATGTGTGATTTGGACATAATAGCTTTTTCTGTCTTTGAAGTGGAAGCGTTTTTATTCAGAGTCATGGTAACTGAATGGTAACTGCCATGTGGGAAAACATGAGGTAACTCTCGTTGGGATTTCTTGTTTGTGGGTTGGTTTGGGTTGGTTTTTTTGTTTGATTGTTTATTTTTGTTCAATTTGTTGAAGGTGCTAGTGCCCTTCTGGGACCTTATGTTCACAGTCAACAAGGAAAGACACAAACCACTTCCAGGAGCCTCTGAGTTGCTTCCCACGAAAGGTTTTCCTGGGTAGTGGTGTAAAAGCCTTTTGGCTTTCTAGATGGTGTTTCTCAGGGTTTTCCTTTAGAGCTGCCCTTGCAATCCAGGGCTCTTCCCAATGGGCTTACAAAGACTTGAGTTTGATTGCATCAGGAAAGTGAATTGTAAGCAGTGTTTTCATTACACCACCGAGGACCTGTTCTTGCCAAAGATCTGTGGTTTGGGTGTTTGCTTACCCCAAAAATGTGACACTGAATTGCTTAACAAGGTTTGTGACTCGTTACACCCAGCTTGAGTAGCAGCATAGAGAGGATGCATCATCATCACTGATCGTGTCTGGTATTGCTCCTTTGTGCTGGCTGGTTGGGAGCAGAGGGTGGAGTTTCAGCCCTTCAGTCTCCCTGAACTGAGGCTTGCCTCCTGCTTTCAAATTTGCCTTCTTTCCATCAAGTGTGTGATGGAAGCTGGAGAATATCCTCTTTAAAAAATAGGAACTAAAGACCCACTGAAGAATTGGCAACTTTTTTTTTTTTTTTTCTTCTGATTTTGCTGGTATTAAAAATATTTTATATCCTGTTTTCACTGTCTTTACATCAATGGTTGAAAGCAGTATTTGGTCTGTGACTTTGCTGGAGGTAAGTTTCTTTGTGTTTGTTCGTACCAGCAATGTTTGTCCCTCTTGGAAATGCAGTATCCTCCTTTTAAAAGAGTTCACGGGATGCTTTTTGTAACAGGAAGGAGGAATTTAGGAAAGAGGGAATATCATGTTTTAATGATCGTAGGAACTGGGTGGTGCTGATGAGAAGGAAGTTGTCGGCACAGTCAGTGAATTATTAGCAGTGTGCAAAAAAAAGGCAGGAAGCTGGCTGCTTATACCAAAGACATCTAGCAGGTCTGACGAGTGCTCGTGCCAGGTTACAAAATACTGCCTGTGAGTCCTGCTGGAACAAACCAGCTCCATCTATTGAACTCTGTTCCATCGCAACCGGTATTTTATAAAACCTGTATGCATTTCAGAGCCATCGGAAGTAGTCTGCTGGATACAAAAAGCACCATTCGATATTTTTATCTTTGTTGTATAACGTTAGGTTTTATTTAGACTTAAGCAGATGAGAGTTTCCTCCTGAGGAAGGAGGCAGTTTTTCACTGCTAGATCAGGGGGGAGGAGCTGGAAAGGACAAACCATCTAATCGTGCACACTGCCCTGTATGGAGGAAGAGTAAAGGTGGCCCAATGAGAGACTCAGCTCTTAGACTGGATGCCCAAGGTAAGAGATGTTTAACTTACTAAAGATGTCAGTTCTAGTTTAAGAGGAGGATAGTGCATTTCCAACCACGCAGCTTGCTTACCACTTGTCTGCAAATGCAAAGCAGGAACTTCAGACTTCACGTTGTGCAGCTTGCTTTGCGGACACCGAAGCTTTTGGCGAAAGCAGAGCAAAAATGTTACAGCAAACTTCTTCCTGGGTTATTTTTGCTCTAAGCAACATCCCTATGAAAAGGTATTGGCGCTGTAGCATCTGACAGCAGTACAGCCCTAATTCAGTCCCAGTTTCTAAATGAACTGAAGAGACTTTCTGTTACCTGCTCACTGACAAACCTTGTCTGTAAAAACGACGTTTCTTGGGTGGTCTGAATTTGTACAGAAGTAAAGATGCATTGGAGCTTCTTGTTACTGAAGACAGCAATTTAGTTTTATGCTTTAAAGTACGTGCTATCCTTACAGGATAGTTCCACTTCTAAAAATTCCCTGTATCAAGCAGAACACAATGTGATTAAAATTTAAAAAATCCCCTCTTTCTGCAATGGTTATTTTAACTGTGAGAGACACAAATATTTTACAGTTCCTATTTAAAAAAGAAAACAACAAAGTTATTTAAAGTACTGTCTTTGAGAGAGGAAACAAGCTGACTTTCCTGTGCAGGGCAGTGCACAATCTATTTGCACAATAAGGTCACACTAAGGAGAATGTATTTGCACAATTTCTGCTTCCTGCCACAGAGGAAGCTAACACAAAGAGGAGACCTTTTTTAGCATACTCTCAGAGCCAGAGTTGTCCTTTTTTGTTTAAGACGAACATGCAAAATTTTTGGTTTTTTGCAACAGATGAAAGCAGCAGTTTCACTGCCGTGAGCTTCGGAAGGAGCAAAATATGTGAGCATAGCTGTTGAGCAGGAGGAAGTGAAGGCTGGTGAATAGTACGCTTCTGCAAAGAAATCACATTGTGTGGAAAAGCATTCACTGAGCAACCCTTGGAAAACATTGCTGATCTATATTCCCTTTTACTGTTTTTCTTTGGAGAGCGGAACTTACCTTTGGAGTGTCCTTTTTGTGATGCTGTTGTGTAGGTTACCATTTCTCCATCTACAGGTTTCCATGTGAGCTTGTCATTTTCATAGTGCACAAATTCCAACTGCTGTCTCTTTCGCAGTCACTGTGTGACAAAGGCCAGCAAATTTTGTACTTCTCTCGAAATGTATTTGAGGAGGGGAGCTGCATCTGGCTCAACTGGCTGTGCTTTCTGTAGGCGGAGTGTTTTATGTGGACTTCTGCAAGCCCACCACCCCACAGATACCTTCTGAATGGAATTCTGCTTCTCATCTCCAGAACAGTCACTTAAACTGATTTTTAAGAAATGTGCCTTGTTAATTTTTTTTCCCCATGCACTTACCCTCATTAGTTAGTGCTCTGCGTAAATTAGTTCCTCCTTTGTGGAACAGGTCTGGTTGTGCTGAGGGGAGCATCGGGGCCTGCAGTTCTACATTTTGTGTTGCCATGCATCAGCTGCAGAAGATGTTCTGAATTTGTGCTTAGGGAGTGACAGCCCCTCTTCATCTGGTGCTTTTGCCCAGCAGGAACCCTTAAAACATACTTGTTGTCACTGGTGCAGGTTGTAGAGAGAGCATGCAAATGGAGGCGCAGGTTATGGTTTTATACTGGTCCCGCAGAAGATGAGCGGTTGGCGTAATGTCATCTACAAATGGACTGCTTTTGTGAACTACCTGCAGACAAAGTTTTGTAAAATGGAGGAGAGGGTAGCTTTGTCCTTTTGATTGAGAACTTTATTGTGAGTATTTCCCTGTTTACTGCTGCTGGTGGGATTTTATCTGCCTTATTTCTTTTGATGATGAGCAAGCAGAAACGAAGCATTTTTACAGAGAGGACTGAGTTTACTTTGGACAGAGAAGCCCTACAATCACTGTGTCACTTAGCCTGACTCAAATATATCCATTGGGATGTAAGTGGAATTGCTGCATTTGCACTGCTGGCTTAATTCACTGTTGTTTCTCAGAGCAGCAGTCCTGTCTTAATGTGCACTTTTGCCTTCTCGGTGCTTTATACGCACAGTATATTCACTTATCACTCGTTAATATTGATAAGAATTAATATTCTCTTCTGGTTGTTCTTTTCTTTCTGCAGAGGGAAAACCGCAGGCTCCAAGAAGCTAGCATGAGGCTGGAGCAGGAGAACGATGACCTTGCCCATGAGCTTGTAACGAGCAAAATTGCCTTACGGAATGACCTGGACCAGGTAACGGGGATTTGTCATGGAGATGTGTCCAAGCTCCAGCTTATCAGTGCCAGTTTTAGGAGCCAGGTTATGCTTCATAACAGGTTGTAGGCTCAAGTAAAAGCATCAATACAAAATTAGAAGCATTATAATCTGTACCCACGTCTTCCTGACAACCTTATTTCTAGTCACACTCAGAGAGCCATCTCTCCACATGAATGCAGGTGTACCAAAGAATGAACACATATTTGAGAATGGTGTCATATGCTCCTTGAAAGACTGATTTAAAGGGAAGTTACCTACCTTACATGGATTTATTTTTTTAACTGTAGATCCATGGCAACAAAAATTAGAAGTGTTCTTTGGCATCCACTGATAACTGCTTGTTTCCTCTGAAGACTGGAGCATAGAGGGGCAGCTTTCAGAGCTCTTTAAGTCACAGATGATGTCAGAGAACTACATGTGCAACCCTCCTCTTTCTGGATCTGTTTTATGCACTACTGATAAATTCCTTAATGACTGTTATTGCAGTAGAGAAGACAAGAGGGCCATGCTGTAACACCCCTCCTGATCAGCGTCTTACTTAGTGAGAGCTGTAGTGCCTCTTGTAATTTAAAATCTTTTCCTGCAAGAGACTCTCAGTTTGATTCTCAGTAGTTATTTGGCTATCTCTGTCTTACCTCAGAATTGTAAACATAATTGATGAGAGCAGTGCAAGTTGTATTTCTACTTAGACCCCTGACAGCTAGGCTCTACTGATCTTCATTCATGTGATTCTAAAAATCAGAGCCATTTAGATGTGTAAGTACAAGCAGATACTGCATTGTGTGGTGAACATTGTGGTGTAAAGGCCAAAAACAATGCATCACGGTGCTCTGTCTTCCCTAGGAGTAACAGCTATGTCTGCTTCTGCCCCTGCTGTTTTCTGCAGTATCATGACAAAGCTGCTGAGCGTGTACTTTTGCCCGCTCTGTTCTTTGCTCTCCTCCATTTTAGCATCTTTCTGTAGTTGAAGGGGACTCCATGAAGCTTTCCCACCCCATCACAGGTCAGCAGCACTGAAAGAAAAGCTTTGTTCCTCACTTGCAAGGAGAGGTGAGACTGTGCACCACTGCAGGTGCTTGGGGAACCTGGAAAAACCACATAAAAGGAGGAAAGATTTTAAATTATTCCTTCTAAGTATGGCTTTAGCAGGTCTTTTATCAAAAATACCTTTGTCATTCTCAAGTCGTTTTGTTCTAAGATATCAACCTTATCACTTGTTTGTTCCTTCACTGCTCATTTTTCCTCTTTCCCTTACAGCCACAAATACACAGTAAGCAATGCAGGAGACTTCAATCCATCACTTCAGCCAGGGCCTGCTACCCACAGCCACCACCAGCCCCCTCCCTCATAATTCACACTGTGGCAGTAGATAAGCTGATACCACTGGCAGTGTAGCAAAACGAAGTGCAAGTCAGAGACAAGCTCTTTCCTGTTATTTGTTGTTTATGATGCCATTTTCTCTCTTGTATTTTCAGCGAAGTATTACTTGTCAATGGCCATAGCCTGCCCTACCATGTAGTTACTGAGGACATGCGGTGCGATGCAGTGTGCATCTGCCAGTTGGGGAAGCCAACAGAAATATATCTAGGCACTGAAAAATACATTTCTCCCCTGGTGATGGATCTGGTGACCAGTGAGGACAGTGCTCACAGATCCCAAAGCGTTCCCAGTGTATTTTCCAGTACATGCACAGTGTCAAGTTTCTCCAGGAAGTACTTGTTTGCACTGATGAACAAACTTATTTGGTGATTCAGTTTGTCTCTGCTACTTACCTAAGCTCTGGCACATGGTAAAGTACATAGCAGGCCCCTGACTTTTTCTGCAGTATGCAAAGTTATGCAGCAGCTGCCCTCACTTGGATTAATATTGCTGCCAACCAAAAGTACTTTATATACTGTTTGTCTTAGGTTTGTATGAGGATGTGTGATCTGTGCTTACCTGTCACCTGGGTACGGATAACATTTGGCAAAAGGGTCATTCTGCAGAGTTTTTGAAGCACAGAGGAAAATCTTAGCAGCTACTTGAAACGGGAATTTCATTTACAAACTAGATTGGGTGAACCCTCTGATGTCAGGAAAAGGCAACTCTAGATCCTGAATCCATGATACTTGTGAGATACATCCATCAGTGCACTTGCATTGGCACAGGTAACGTGGTTTACACCACTGCTTCTCATTCTAGGCTGAAGACAAAGCAGATGTTCTGAACAAAGAACTTCTCCTGACCAAACAGAAACTCGTGGAGACTGAGGAAGAGAAACGGAAGCAGGAAGAGGAAACTGCTCAGGTGAGGCATTCCTCCCATCTTTCCCATTTAGCTGAACGCACACCAAAAGTTAATCAGAAAAGCAGGAATGAACTGAAGTTACAGAAGGGACTTTTGTCCTCAAAATTCAGTGGCAAAAATTCAAAGTGCCAGGCTGAATGTGTGCGGTTTGTTTTTTTGAGTGTTTTCCTGAATGTCCACTTTTCTGTATCTTATCCTCTCCCCAGTATAGAAAGAATTTTCACTGGTGGAGAGCAATCACAACTAAGGAGGCACAATCAGGTGTTTTTTAATTATCTGAAAAGGTTGCTGGAAGAATCATTGCCTTGTAAGAGGCCGCAACTTGACTGAATTAAAGCTGTGGATGTTCCTTTTTGAAGCTAGAACCAACAGGACGGAGTTGAGGGTTGAAGTAATGCTGCTGACCAGACCTCATGTTCTTTAGCAAAATGTGCAGTTTTAATCCTACATAACTTACATACTGAATAGCAGCACACACGTTGGAATGTTTTGAGAGCAGTACCGTGGTTTTTGTTATTGCCATTCCACAGCAGTAATTGTAACAATCAAACCAATTATTATTCCCTTTCTGCCTAAAATGGAGGCTGCCAGGATCTGTATTTACTACATACAAGGCAATGGAAGCCTTCTTCCTACTGAAAGGATGCTTCATGTTTAGCACTTGTAAACAGTAGAGGAATGAGTTAACTGTGTTTTGATGCAGTACCACTGACTAAACCAGATATTTACAGAGGTGAGTGATAGTGCTGAGAGATTCTTCTCCCTGTTCCAACCAACCAACCAACCTGTCTGCCCATACCTCTTGTCACCCACTTGGTTGTCTTTTATCTTCTCTGAACCATGCTCTGCTGTTTGACAGAGAACTCTCTAAACAGTGATACGCTGTACGACAGAAGAGACTTGTTGGTTATAGTAGGTATTTGTGTAATAAATGAATCAGACCTTTTCCAGTTCTCCAGAGCTGGGAATTGGTAAGAAAAAGCTATAGAAATGTTGCAAACACAGACTGTCTTTGAGAGAACAATTTGATGATGCATTTCAAGAACTTCATTCAGTGTGCTGTGTAACTTCTCTCCTTCAATTCCTAGCTGAAGGAAGTCTTCAGGAAGCAACTGGAGAAGGCAGAATCTGAGATTAAGAAAACCACAGCTATTATTGCGGACTACAAACAGGTAACGTTCTATAAAGACACTTTCTCATATTTATTTGTAAACTGTTTTTTCAGCCCCTTTTGAGAGCTGAATTGTCAGAGTTGCACATCTCATCCTTCATATAAACTTTAAAAAGCTTTAAAAAAACATTACACTTCAGGCTTTCAGAAAGCTTTATAATTTTTGATACATCTTGTTTTAGATTTCCTAATGGTCTGCTGACTTAGGAAAACCAAAATAATCTATCTTTAAACTATTTCTAGTGATTTTTATTTATGTTTTTGCTGTGGTGACACAGAGCTGTGTAAACATTATAAATCAGATAATCTGTAAAATATTCTTGTCCCTGTGTTCAGGTTCTGTATCAAATACTGCTATTTTTAAGTCTTAGTTATCACCAGCAGTGAATTTGTTAAGGGGTAACACGTGTAGCTGAGTGAGGCAGAATTTAATAAGTGTTTGCTCTAAAATAATCATTACTATAAAGCACAGATCATATTTTTGTAAAGTCCATTTCATCTAAGAAAGTGCTTTCTCTGCTCCAGATTTGTTCCCAGCTGAGCACCAGGCTGGAAAAACAACAGACAGCCAGTAAGGATGAACTGGAAGTTGTAAAGGTGAGACCAATGCTTCTCCCTGTGGAATGGTTTGAATGCAAGTGTTGCTGAATGCCAATGATACAGAACAAAATGTGAATTGAAGCTTATTGCAACAGTGTTCACCCAGCTGCACTGACAGCCCCGTATGTTTTCATGCAGTGTAAAAAAATGAAGTTTATCAGATTAGAACTTTCAAAATGAACGGAATGTCGATTTTTTTTTTTTTAATTTTATTTTTATTTTTTGTAGAAATGTGCTTTTGGCAGCAGTGTAGAAAGGCTGTATTTACTCAGATGTTTCCATTAAATGTAAACAAAAGAAGGCTCTCTAGAGGAGAAAACCTGCTGCTACTTGGGTGTGCATAGTGGAGAGGATCAGAATTACTATTAGGGCACAGCTTGGGCCATCCCCAGAATTTCATTAGCAGTTCCTCTCTATTCCCTAAATCCCATTCCTAGTATCTACACAAATGCTAAGTATTTCCTGATCAGGTAATAATTCCATCCCTCTGCTTTGTCACTGCTAAGTAGGTGGAATCATTTTCTGTCAATGGTAACATCTAGTGGTTCCCTTAGTACTCAAGCTGAACCTGATTTGTTGCTTTTTAGTGACCATTTCTATCTGTTACTCGTCAAAAGATATACTACTATTGATGTTCCTATAAACTGCTGAAACAATTCAATATTCTGTGTTAGTTTGCAAGCCCAGACGAGCTGTGCTACATCCTCAGCCATGAGTGTCTGCTTCACCTCACCAGGCAGCATGAAAACCTTGCAACTGTGTGTCAAATGTTAGTAAGAAAGGCTGTCCCCTATGATTCTAACCATGCATTGAGGGCCAGTACTACATCTTGCAACCAACTGACTACTTCTGGAAATACAGAAAAGCTGGCTGGATTTCTTGCAAATAACAAAATCTGTACGAATTTGATCAAGAAAGTCCCTAGTCTGTAATTTATTCTGAATTGTGCCAACATAAATACTGCAAAATATGACAGAGCTTTGGTAGCAAGAAGGTTTGAGTCTTACTGAGAAGTCAAGTCTTTGTGCTTAAACAGAGAATGCTAACTAGTTTCTAAGGTCTTCTTTTTTTTTTTTTTAATACTGCTTCATATACTCAGGGCGTTGTTCATGAACTTACCAAACTCTTTTAACGTGAAGTGTGAAAGTAGCTTTCTGGCTATTCCAGGGTAAAGTGATGGCCTGCAAACACTGCAGTGAGATTTTCAGTAAGGAGGGGACACTGAAGCTGCCTGCTCTAAGCCTGGATAATAAAGGCTTAGAAATAGATGATGAGAAGGATGCACTGAAGAAGCAGCTGAGAGAGATGGAGCTGGAACTTGCACAGACCAAACTGCAGCTTGTGGAAGCCAAGTGCAAAATTCAGGTATGTGGAATGCCACGCAGTCTCCCTAAACCAAAAAAAAAGGCATATACTTGTACTGCTGTATGCGTGTGAACTTCCAGAATCCTCTGTCTGTCCTTAAAAAGACAGAAATAAGGATTCTCATTTGTATATCTAAACATCATCTGCTGTTCTGGTGGTTTTAATGCGTCCTTTCTCCCCAGTGCCTGGGAGGCTGCAAAGAAAGTTAGAAGACTGAGTTTGAAGACTTTTATTTTTTCTTTTTTTAAATTCTTTTTGATCACTTCTGACCGTTCTGCTTTCTTAGGAGCTGGAGCACCAGAGGGGAGCCCTTATGAATGAAATCCAAGCTGCCAAAAACTCTTGGTTTAGCAAAACCCTGAACTCTATCAAAACTGCCACAGGCACACAGCCACCGCAGCAGCCCCAGCCGTCCCTGCCACCCAGAGAGGGCAGCACATAGTTCCAGCCAGACCTAACACAAGAGCACAAAGAACAACACAACTGAAACCCTGGGGGAGTCTTCCAGTGGTCTCTCTTCTCTGGTAAAGGACAAAAGGCAGGCGTGCAGGCTTGAAGTGAAATTCTTCAGTGTTTTTCATTCATTCTGATGTGACCCTTTTCAAAGAGGGTAAAAATATATTGTTTTACGTTGAATTCCTACTTCCCAAACTGCCTTGCTGAAAGCCACGTTCTGATACCTTCATACTTTTACACTTTATTTTATATGACTAGATGAATAAATAATTCAAAACTAGCTCTTTAATACATGACTAATGATTCAGAATTATTTTTATCTTGCATAGAAGGTTTTTTCTTCTGGAAGAGGAGGAGAGAGAATGTCAAATGTAAAGTGCTGCAGCATCATCTCTTCCCAGAAAGCACAGTGTAACAAGTACCAGTGTGTGTGCGAGTCTAGGATAACTTATGCCCTGGGACCATCTCAGAAGTTTATCGCAGTGACTGCGTCCTGCAGAGAAGCACTTTTTGTAAAGCTTAGGCAGAGATGCCTTGTGCTCTCTTGGCACAATTGTTCGTGAGCTTCCCCGAGAATTTCATCCTTGTTTGGGTTGTTTTTTTCTTCAGAAATGCAAGTTGTGCAGTTGTTCGTAGCACTGAGTAGCACTGTTGTTTAAAGGTGATTTACAGCTGAACTGGAGCTTAACAAAGTTACCTAGTTCCCCTTTTTTATTTCATGTTTATAGTAAGAACTCCAAGAAGTCATTCCTTCCACTGGGAGAAAGGGAAAACTGTTGGAAATGTATTTGTTGAGCAGAGAAGCAGAGGAAAGACTTAGTTCTGTCCTTTTGTAAATCCTGTGCAATGAAGCAGAGCTTTTATGAATACAATTAACAGAAACCTTTCCCTGGGTCTGTTTTGCAAGTTCTGAATTTGACACAGAAATGAGGTACCAAATACAAACCCAAAAGACTTTTTGCTGCACTGACGAATAAAACATCACAGAAGCAGAATTTTTTTTTTTTTTTTTGCTATAAATCTTTGGCCAGGAAATGCTATTGATAGTACTTATTTTATAAAGACAGACATTTTCAAGTGAAATACAGAACTTAGACTTCTCCCATGGGATAGACTTCTCTGATGATTCCCAAACCTGTCTGGTTGTTTTATATGTTGTCTAAGGTAAGAAAACTCGAAAGTGTTTGTTTTGACTGAACATAAAGTGTTTATAGAAAGACTTATTTCATGGAAAATTAAACTATTGCTTGAACTGATGGAATATTTTTTTAATCATACCTCTCACGTCTATAAAATGGTCTTGCAGGTAAATATTGCTGCTGAACAAAAGGTTGTGTAGTAATTGTTCCATTAACAACACTGTTGCAGGTATAGCAGTTTTGTTTTGACTTGGTTGTTGTTTTTATTAATTTGAAGGAATGCCATATCTTGTCAGTTTTGTATAATAAAATTTAATGATACTCATCCTGTGCTTTGTTGTCAAGCAAAATTGTGAATTACTTCAAACAGAGTAGTACAAATTTAATGTTTATCTGTGCCAAAGGAATGATTCAGAAGGATAGTCACCTGTTTGAAGCAGAGATCAGATTATAATCATAGTCCTGACACAGAGATCCTGCGAATGAATTCTCTCTTCTAAGAGTTAGGAGTTAAAGAATGTTAGCATTTTTAAAAGTACCTGCAAGTGATCATCTGGAAACCTTAAGACTGGGGGGCGGAAGGGAGAATAAAGAGGGAGAAAGCAGAAGGGATCTCTTTTGCAAATAGGAGAAAAATACACTTTCATGCTAATATTTACATAGATGTTTCCATTGTGTGGACTGTCTTAACCTAGCATTATTCATTCACTTATCAGTACCATTCCACACTTGGTATCAACGGCGTAAAAAATTGGAAGTGACACTTGAGAACACCTGGCGAGCGTTCACTGATCACGTTTGAGAGTACTGTGCTGATGAGTGACACTGATGGTTTGACAAGTGTCCACATTTCTTAAGTAGATCTTACATTTACCTTCAGTCTGATTTAAAGCCTTGATTGGAAAAATGCCATCAGAATCAAGAAAAAACGGTTAAGACTGTAATTCCCTGAGCAGCCGTGCTCACGTAACAGCTGACTGCTGCTCGGAGACCTTGCCCCCCAACTCCCTGTTGTACAGTCGTGTCCCTGTCCTTGGTATGGCACTTACTGCAGATGAATCTTAAAATATTGTGTGTGTGGATATTTTTCTGCCCTTTAGTCCTTTGACAAGTCAGTACATGAAGTCATGTCAGCGGGTCCATTGAGAGTGAGTGGATGAGGGGGAAATGGGAGTGGTGCTCTCACAGTTTATCAAAAGGGAATTAAGTAAGCTTCTGTGTTTCATGAAACTAGGTTTGACAGAACATCATCTTTCTCAGCTCTCTGTCTTTAGAAGTTGAGTTCCTGTGACAAAATCACGTTTGCTACCTGCTAGCCAGGATGATTTCATAGCTCTGTCAGATAGAAACTGGCTTACCTTGTACCTCTCAAAAGAAGTTTCAGAAGGCAATGAACGGCTGAACTATCCACTTTTGGTAATGATACAAAGGCAGTAAATGACTTTCATCTTCCATCTGTACATCCCACTTAGTGTTTGTAGCAGTGGCATTTGGAAGAGTGATGTTTATACGTGGAGACTGTTTTCTCACAATTACTGAAAGAATAAGCAAAAACAGCTCTGTGGCATCTTGAGGAATAAGCATCATTATACTCAGAAACAAAGAAAGTAGCAAAACTGCGGGATTAAATCAGGAAAGCTAAAACTCGGCCTGCTGACTGTACGTGTTACTGAGATACTTGTGAGGAAAAAGAAAGTCTGGCTTTTAATTAGTCCTTTCAGCAGTCGATTACAGACACGCTCATATTCCAGGGCAACTGGTCTGTCAGGGGTAGCTGGCTCAGCCTTGAGATTTGCAGCAGGAAATACCAAGCTTACTTTTGTGTGGCACTGGAAAGTAGCTCATAAGACTGGAGTGATTAGTTGTTTTTTTCCTGATTCAGTATCAAACTATGTGTCCATTTAAAAAATCCAAATTACTTTCAATACAGCTTTATGGAACTAAATCTAGTTTTAATTTTACTGAGACTGCACTACTCTGGAATGAAGCCTTTACTTTCATTAGGGATAAGCTTCCAAAGAATGTTTTTAGTTTAACCGTTTCATCTTGTTGGATTCAAATTGCTCCTGAGATGTCCAGTATGGAAAAACAAACAAAGCTGCTTATCTTTTTTCCACTTTAAAAAGAAGTGTTTACTTTGACTGTAACACTTTACAGGGTCAATGAAGCACGGTACTTACATGGTACATCTGTGAACTAGTCTCATCTTTGTGGCTCAGTACTGAAAAGCAATAGCACGTACTTTAACAAATCCTAAATCTACCTAGAGAGACTTAAAAACAAAGATACGGTGGGTGGCTTTAATCCAAGGAACTGCAAAATCCCTGGAGCCCATAGGCTTTAATGTTCAGTGAAATCACTACGGGAAAGCTGGTCAGCCATGTGATCAGTATTGACAGCTGACAAACACGTTCTTGCCTCGCCCATTAATTACTACATTCTATAGGTTGCCACAGCCAAGTTACAAGTCAGATAAACGATTTTTTTTCTTGTTAGGCACCCTAAAGAACTTGTTTGTTGAGGTTTGTTTTTTTTTTTCCTCCCTAAAATAGACACTTAAATCTGTGCCATTGTGTGAAAAACAACACAGAATAAAGACAGCCATTTACAACAGGAGAGGGAGCTCCAACATCAAGAGCAGCAATAATTCAGCCCTTTGACAAAGCATGAAGTATCCCATTGACTTCAGAGTCACAGTATCGCTCACCGATTGAACAGGGCACTTGGAGTTAAATGAAAATCTTAATTACTGGCATTAAAACTTAAAAGCTGCATGAAAAATTGAGGCTTTCTTCACGAGAAACAGGACTGTTCCCATCTTTGTTTTAAGTAGTTGGCAGTGAAATCCACGGAACTGCTTGTATGCGTGGGAGAATTATACCTCTTATGTTGATTTACTGTTAGACTCAGGGATAATTGGCATACTTCTACATGATCTAGTAAGCCTAAATACCTTTGGCATTGAAACCAGAAACTCTCTTGTCTTACAATGCTGGGTTTTTTTTCCAGCTGCTACAGAGAAAACCTTACTGTATGTCATTCTGGTTGACCAGCATGCCTCTGTTACAGCTAAACCCTGCAGAAAGGGCTGTTGCTCAAACACTGGCTGCACGAGATATGCAGTGCCAAGTGTACCCAGCACCGTGGGTACACACAGCACCAGGCATCACGTTGTTCTTTCAAATGCAAAGGATTGAACTAAGGTTCTATTTATTTCCATCTGTTACCCTACCATCCTACTGGGAGCTGTCCCTTACCTCCTTCCAAGTAACAGCACTAAGGGGAGACACAGTGAAGCACTGATTTTTGGACATTTCAGAATGGATTATGTAGTAGACATCACTGCAGCCTTTAAAACTGGGCTTATACATAGGTGGATTTAGGGAAATACAAAGAATTTGGAACTGGATGACTAATTATCAGCATTGATCAAGATCCTATCTTTCTCAACTCAGAAGTCTACACAAGTTGTTTCAGGATCATGACTTAAGACGTACAGGTTAATCCTCCAGGAATACAGGGCTCTCCACTTCTCCTGGATTCCAACTGCTTTGCTACTGAATGTATTTCATGCTATTTTTACCTGGAAAAAAAAAAGAAAAAAAAGAAAAAAAAGAAAAAAAAAAAAAGATATGGGTAGAGAATTAGAATGTTACTTCCTCTTATTTTCTTATTCAGTGGGACTTGCTTTTATTTAACCTGTAAAGGAATATATATGTATCTTGGGAAAACTATATCTTATATATAGAATAATATATAGGAAACTGAATCCCAAGGAGATAAATACAGCAAAAGGATCGAGTATCATAGATTTCATTTGTGATTTGATACCACCAGAATCCTGGGCTGTACTGATTTCCTTCCAGTTTCTCTTATTTTTGTATTTTATATAATACATGGATGCTACTGTCAATGCAAACAAAAGCGTATGTTCTCAGCTTTTTCTCCAGGTCCCAAGTCCCCCCTTCCAGTAATTCCCGGGGACACGCTGGTACCAATACCACCTTCTAAAGCTGTACCATGAGCTCTCCTGAGCTTTGGGAACTGATGCTTTTCTGTGTAAGAGGATTCTCTGGTATGTTCACACAGGGAAAAGGTTAGCAATGCAGAAAAGGATCGAATCAAGCATAATTCTGATCCAGATCACTCTCTGTCTGCAATCACATCAGCGCATTGAATGTAGAGAGCACCCTCAAAGTGCTGATTACCGATGAGATTTTCCAAGTTTTTAGCTGCATTTGATATCTGAGTGCGTCCCTTGTTCATAAAATATAGTCACTAGAAAGAGTTACTAGGAAGAAAGAGCATCACAGCGCTGTGAGACTTTTGAGAACAGTTCCATACTGCCCTTCTTGTGTAACAAATCCATGTATTATATAAAGTATGATACAGAAATATAAGTGTAACGCTTGTTATTCAAAGTGCAATTTAATGTACATGGTCACAACAAATGTTTACTTTTCTAATTGTTACAGAATTGTTTGGATCAGTACCTTGTTATCATTGTGTGAACGATGCCTTGTAAAATAAATGGAAATGCAAACAAAATGAGAATAAGATGCTTATTTTGAGAAGCCACTTAAGAAACAGTTTGCAGGAATAAACGGCCACGTTGGGTTTTCTGATACAGTTCACTCCAGTTGGTCATTTTGAAGCACACTGTTGTGCCAGGACACTGATGCTCAGCAGACAGCTGTCCAAAATGTGCACGTTGCACAGCTCATTCCAAACTGGTTGGTATTATGTACCTGCTCACAAGGGTAACCTGTACGGCAGGGATCTGACTGACAAGCACTGTGCTGGACACTCCAGGTGCTGCTCTGAGATTTCTAGCATAGAAAACAGACTGGTAAATATATTTATCCTAAAGGTTGTTCATATACAACAGTAGGAAAGCAAGAGTGGCTGGGACTTCATGCTTCCCTGAAGTATGCAAAAGAAACAGGCAGCAGCCCTAAGGAAGAAAAGTGGGACCAAGAGGAGCCAGCAACAGAGAAGCATGGCTGAGAAAGATCAGGGCAGAACAGTTGTGGCAGATAGCAACCAGAAGTATTCAAATACTTCATGAAACCAGTTTTTCCTGTAGTTGTTACAGGATATATGTATATTTTTTATTAACTGAGATGAACAGCCACAGCTCCCTGCATAACTAGATAAGCTCCATGGGGAGTTATAAAGGAACAGAGATAGAAAAGCTGAATATTAAAAACTTGTCTCTGGTTAATTTACCAGAGGTAACATTTTGTACTGATTCACCTCCATATCACTACCCAAAAGTTGCTTGTCATCAGTTTGTATCAGTGTCTATGGAAGGAGGGAATGGCTACCTTGTGCTCCACAGAGAGGTCACATCCTCTCAAATGACTTTACCCCATCCTTTGAGCTGCTAGGAACACACTGCACAGCCCCGTGTTCACCACAAAGACCAGATGAGGATCCTACAGCTGAGTTTCAGCACTCCTACCAGTCCTAACCAAGCTCCTTCTTCCCTTCCTGCTGCACAAACAGCTCCCATTCTTGTCCCCTGGGAGAAGCCACTTGGCTCCTCATGAGGATGCACAGAAGAAAACTTTTGTCATTCTCTCCTGTTTATAGCCAAGGTAGGACACAGCATTCAGGTGGCACTGCAGCTTTAACCCAGAAGAGCCATGCAGAACTTGTTTTCATAGTAGAAGAGTTAAAAATTGCTAGAAAACAAGCAAATTACAGGAGCACTTATGTATTTAAGTGTTTTCCCCTGTATCCAGAAATCAAATTGCAAAGCAATACCAAATTAAATCCTAAAGCTGTGAACACTTCCTAATGAAATCCCACCACAGACAGAGGAGACTAATCAGTAGTCATGGAAATTGCACTGATTTTTTCTCCTCTCAGCGGCCGCTCAGCAGAACAATCACAAGGAAACAACTTCAGAAGAAGAAACCGGGCTTAGCCCATTAACTAACCGTGCCACAGAAGTTCTTTCCAGCTGACCACAATGCATCCTGTCAGATGAAATCTGCGGCTGAGAAGCTGCAGGACGAGGAGCAGATAGACGCTTCAGAAGAATCTTTAAGGTTGGAAAGGACCTCTAAGATCATCCAGCCCAACCACTGAAACGAAGCATTACTGGAGGATCTACTTCCAAAGGGAACCAGTAACAGGTTGACAAGCTATTGCTAACAAATGAGACAAGATACTGCAGCAGCACGGCTCTGCCATAACACTGTCCAAACCCCCCTTGGGAGGGCAAACCCCTGCTAGGAAGGTATTCTAACCCTCACTTCAAAAGAAAAACAAGTTGCAACAGAATAGAGCACTTCACTTGCCAATCTTCAAGAGCAATCCTTCTAAATATTACTTGTTTCAACTGTTCATAGTTTTATATTTTTTCAAGTTGGGCAATTTGTTGCATATTTCAACTGCAAAGCTGAAGAAGAACGGAATAAAACCAAGCCCCCAGGTGGAACAATGTGCGCGCTGAGCTCGGTCGTTACAAATACCACAGACTGAAGTGAAGAAGTGAAGACACTGAAGCTACGCGCAGCGAGCGAGGCAGGCTGAACCCACTGAGGTAACAGCCCCGCTTCCTCGGGTTGTAGGGCGCTGTCAATCAAGCTGCTCGTCGTCATGGCAACGCCGCGGTTTGGCCCTCCCCTTCCGTTGAGAGAGCGGAAGTGGGGAAGGGGGCAGCGTGCGCCCCGGGGAGGAGGAGACGTACGTCACTTCCGCTGCGCGGGGGCGGGGTGGGAGGTCGGAAGGTTCCAGAGGGGCCGTGGAGTTGGCGGCTTTGCTGTGGAGGTGCGGCTCGGCGTTGTGCCACACACGACATGGCTGCTGCTCGCGAGGAGGTGAGCGGCTTCCCTTTCTTCCCCCTGCTCTTGACTGGGAGCTGGCGGGAAGGACGCTGCTCACGCAGGGGGTCTTTTGGCCTCTGAACGCGGAGCAGCTGTTTCGGTTGTAAAGCATTTACGGCATTCCGCTGTGTCCCGGTTGATGGGAGCTTAAACGTTGATGTACGTGTGGTAGGGGAGGGAAGGTGTTCGTAGCCTCGTGCTTAGCAGCATGCCGAGTGACATTGATTGCGTGAATCTGAGGTATCTGGTGAGCGGGGGAGAGCTCGGCAGTGAACCTTGAGCAGGTTCGTCTGATCGGCGTGTGCGATCTTCTGTTGTTAAACAGCTGCAGAAGGATTTGGAGGAGGTTAAAGAGCTGCTTGTGAAGGCCACGAGGAAGCGGCTGCGTGATGTCCTGATGATGGAAAAGCACAAGCTAGAGCTAGAAATCAAGAGTCAGCCTCTGCCAAAGCCAAAAGATGTGATAGAGGAAGAAAAGTCATCACTGGGAGGGTACACAGTGAAAATCAACAATTACGGTAGGTTTGCTTCTCAAAAAGCCTTTACAGCTCAGGCTTCTGCCTGAAGAGAAGCCTGAGTGGTGTCAGTGACTTACAGTCTTCACATAGTGCTGTAAGAAGCCGTCTTAAATGTTTGTTTTGTACTGGAGACCCCACTTGTAAAGGTTCTGTGTGCTTACTGTGTGGCCCTGAGCACAGTATGTGTTAGTTCTGTTGGTGTGAGTGCTGTCCCATACTGGTAGAAAGTATTAACAGTCCCTGCTGTACCAGCGAGTGTTTTTTCCATTGTGTAACACTCAGCAAGACTGAAAGAGTGAGCTTTGGCTTCTCTGCTTGTCACATAGGTAAAAGGAGAAGGAGTTGCTCAAGATGCTTGTCTGGCGTGTTGGGAGAAAGTGGGCAAGGAAACTGCAGCAAAAACAGACATCTCCAATTCCTGCACAGAGTTCTGTCATTTTAACTGAGCTGATGCATGGCTTTTCTCCAAATTTAGAGGAGTTCAGGAATGTGTGAGGACCTTCTTTTACTCTCGGATTTCCCTTATCCCTCTGAAGGTTATTTCAGTAAGGCACAGGTTGTGATCATTACCATGGACTTCGTGAGAATATTGGAATCATGCAATCATAGAACAGAATGCATTAAGTGTATGGAGGAAAGCTAGATCTTAATTTCTTATTCTCTTGCAGGTTGGGATCAGTCAGACAAGTTTATTAAGATTTATGTCTCTTTAAATGGAGTCCAGAAGCTTCCAGCTGAGAACGTGCAGGTGAATTTCACAGAGAGGTGAGTTCATCTTGTTGCACTATTCCACAAGGGAGAAGCATGGATGAGGAACTGTTGAAATATTGTTTGAAAAGCAGGGCTGTGTAGTGTTGAGTACTGTTCTAGGTCAACTAGGCCTTTTCCTGCCCCCCTGCTTCAATTTATTTAGTACATACCCTTAAGCATAGCTCTCTTCAGAGGGCATTTAAAAAAAAATTTTACAAATGCTCGTTACACCTCATATCGCTTGACAGGGTATGTGGCACCAGCCCTGTTTTTAATGGTGATGTAACTGAAATGTTGATTAAATAAAATTGCCTTAGTTGCAGGAGGTCAGTGAGAAAGAACCCTGTGAAGATCTTGATTTGATGTGTAATCTATGTGTATATATATATATTTATGTGGCAGTATTAAATCCAACTGAAAGGGTAGGAGGAAAGTTGGACCAGTTGACATGCTCTCCCAAGTAATGCACCTGCTAAAGGGATCTAGGACAGTTTGCAGTGGCAGTGTGGAACACTCTTGTACAGACTGGAGTATGTATTTATGTTTGCCTTCTCCCCAACTTCTGGCTTCAGGTCATTTGATCTGCTGGTGAAGAATCTGAATGGAAAGAACTACACCATGACGTTCAACAATCTTTTGAAGCCCATCTCTGTGGAAGGCAGCTCCAGAAAGGTCAGTGCAAACCCTGTGTGTTACAGGTAATACCATGGTCGTTGCCTGAATGTCATTCTTAAGAATCTCTAGTTGTTGTAATTGTGGAATCATTGTCTAGAGCCCATAGGCTTTTTTTGAAAAGATCATAGCTAGGTATCGTGTGCTTTTTCTAAACAGCCCTCCAATTGGGATTTCAGCAATAATTAAGCAAAAAATTCCACTAAACATTAGTTTGCATTCTTCTGCTCTGAAACACTTCTGAGAGCCTTTGCAGTTTTAAGGACTGGAGACTTGTCAGCAGACTGAAGCCTTGAGTAGCTTAATTAGGCATAATGCCCAAAACAATGTCAAAACTTGCTCTGGCTTTAGTAGGGATAGATTAAACAGGAGCAACTGAGCAACTTTTCACTGCTGATGACTGCAACTGAAATACTCTTCCTACTTTGCTGCTTGTAACACCATTGAACCAAATGATGGTTCAGTTTGAAACTGTCCTAAAACTAGAATAGTGTACCAAAAGAAAAAAAAAAAAAGAATGGAGCTCCAGTGATTTATTTATTTATTTTTTTTTTCTCCTTCTTTTAATACAGTGTGAAAAAGAACAGTGGTCATGCCACTGAGCTAAGCTGATGCTCAGGGAGAATTCTGTGTGCCATGGCACACAGCAGTTTTGAGGAATTGAGGTCAGGGTAGCAATTAAACAGGCTTTGCTTATAACTTGCAAACATACTGTGAAATGAAGCAATGCCCTTAAACCAGTTTCTTGTCCTAGGAGAAATGAGTTGGGAGAGCTTCTTCCAAAACTCGGTATCACCACTTACCAGGCAGTCCTGTGTGCTTTTAGTATCCTAAAATGACTGACTGGTGCTTCTACAGCACTGTATGTTCTGCTGTACCATAGAGTAGTTAGTACTGTAGTACTGTACTAGTACTCTGTATCAGTCATGCCGTTTAATCCACCACAGTGAGGTCAACACTTGGTGCTGTGAAGCTGAATACGTGCTAGAATTTCTGTATATTACCTAAAAATCAACAGCAAATAAATGTTTTGGGAATTGGTGGATATAGAAAGAGGTGAAAGTTCATTGTGGTTGTGTCTAGCATCCTTTATTAGTATTCTAAATTCCTATCTTGCTGTTCTCCATCCAGATAAAGACAGACACAGTCCTTGTGATGTGTAAGAAGAAGCGGGAAGAAAAATGGGAGTGTCTCACTCAAGTGGAAAAAGAAAGCAAAGAGAAAGAGTAAGTGTCTCCTTGCCCCTCCATCTTATCTTCTTTCTGAAACTGCTTTAGGACAGGCAAGAGAAGAGCTGTAACGCACTGACAGTCAGATTAAGAGAACTGCTGTTCTGGGGCACAAGCCCCCAAGGTATTTGTGAATCATTAGGCTGGGATTTTTGTGGTACCAGTAAGACTGACAGCGGAGGAGATGCTCTTTGAGAGCTGATTGCCACTCTTCTATTGGTTTATTGCTTATTATGAATGTCACATCATTGGAAATAAGACAGATGAGACCTTCAGTGAGAGTGCTAGAGGTAATTAACCAATTAATGAGTCAGTTTTATCTTGATGGCTGCGTTTCTAGCAAGAACTGCTCTGGTGAGGTTGACTTTGTTTTTAGGCTATATTCTGTAGATATACAGAAAAAATAATATTTTTTTTACATGCATTTGAAATGCCCACACAAAACACCCAGCATCCTTTTGGCAAAGGCTTTTTTTTTTTTTCTTTTTCTTTTTTTTTTTTTTTGCTTACCTGGTCATTGTACAAAATTTTCAGACAACTTTAAATCAGTTTGCTTCAAATTCTTGGGACCAGTACTACAGGCAGCTTGGGCACTGGATGTGAAAAAGTGGTAAGCTACAGCCAGAAACACCTGGGGACAAAATGCATTTCTGTGTGTGTAGTAGTAGTATATAGCTAGTATAAATTAGTATAATACTTTCATGCTGTTTTAAAATATACACATTCTCATCCAGAAGAGAATTTGCAGGCCCACTTTGAAGTGTGGAAGCATTCACTTTTGAGACACTTATGGCCTGACAACAACTATTCATTTTGCTTTGTTTTTTTTTTTTTTTTTAATCTTTGTAAAATGACTAGCTTGAACTGATCAGTCCTGGCTAACAGAGCAAAAACCGCCTTCCCCTCTCAAACAACAGCATTAAAGACTAGGAGAAGGTAACTTGACTACTGATCAGTTGCTGGAGGAATGTAGTCATCTCATTAAATCTGTTTCTTGTGCAGAGAAATACCATCTGCTGCCCAGCCTGACAGGGCTAGCATTGCTGCCTTGTTCAAAGGCTTGAGGATTTACACTAAGACAATTGAGTCACTCCAGAAATATTCCTCCTAGTTTACCAGTGTTCAGGTCTGGGATGCTGGTGCCTCGCCCCTCTGCTGATTTATTTTGATCTGCTTGTTTTGCAGGTAGCCTGCAGCTACCTGAAGAATACCTGTGGGATTTTAGAAAAATGGGATATAGAGGCAGTTTAGCCAGAGGTGGCATAATATGAAGTCTGGTAATGTGGGTCATGTCGTAGCAAGATGCTTCCCACATGGAGTATTATTCTTCTTCACTGTTGCTGGCTTTGTAGGGTGAGAAAATTGCTTAGAAATGCAAGGTGCTATGATGAGGCAGTTAACCTCTGAACACCATAACAGCTGGAAGCAGAAAATGCCTTTTGGGTCATGGATATGGCCACTTGAAAAGC